TAACACTTTATTTTGTAACGAACTTTTTACATCTTGATTGAAATTATCGATATCATAATTATCATTACTATTGGATGTTATTATTCGTTTCATACAAACAGAATTTTTATGTTTAGGAACAACAAAATCTCTTAAAGATTCACTCGTTCGTTCTTCACATTCTATTTCTATTTCAGATGCAATACTTTTGACAAATTCAGTTTCTTTAAAAACTTGTATATTTGAATAGGATTGTAATCTCGTAATCATATCTAATATTTCATCTTTAAATGCACAATTGTCTAAAGTACATTTGTTATTATTAATTAAATATATATTTTTTAATTGCTTTATAACTGTATCTTTAAATTGTTTTGAATCTATCACTTCACAATTTTCATCTTCTTCATTGGAATTACTAGACAGCTATATAATAATAAGGTAAATATATATATTAATATTTGCTTTTTAAATTAAATATAAATTATTAATTATTACTTACAGATGTGGAATGTTTTAAAACTACATCTAAATCATCTTCCTCAACTACAAATGTTTCTTTATCTAAAAATATGTTAAATATTAATATAATAATAGATAGAATATAAAGTTAAATGAAAGATATATTAATTTTTTTTCTTACTTTCATTTTCATTTGACTGTGTATTTCTTGTATGAGTTACTATATGAGTACCAGAAAAATTATTCGGTCTGCAATATAATAATGTAAAATTAATATATATTATTATTTTTAATATATATTCTTATATATGTTTAATTTATCCTTTATTTTAAATATTACCTTATATCTTTAATATGACGATCATGCAATTTTAAACTTTCTATTTCTGCTGTTAATTCATCATTTTGATCTTGTAAAAGAACTGCTTCTAATTGTAATTGTTTAATACGATCTACCAAATATATAACTTCCTGTTGATGTTTCACCTCTACATTTTGCGACTAAATAAAATTATCAATTACAATGAAGATAAATATAAGATTTAGATTCATTTTTTTTATTTATAATAAAATTATTTAAATACCTCATCATGCTCTGCCGCTAACATTTTTATTTGAGTTATTAATTCATTGTTTGATTGTTTAAATTTTTCAATTTGATTACGAAGATTCTCATTTTCATTTTCTAAAACTTGATTTTCTTGTAACGTACTTACAAATTTATTTCTAATCTCATGATTTTCTTTTTGTAATATTTGTATTTGATCATCTTTTGATTTCAGAATGCTAGTACTCATTTCTCGTTCAGAACTAAGTTGGTTTGATAAATCTTGTATAGTTTCAGAATGACGTTGTTCAATTTGTTTTCGTAAATTTTGAACAATCTCTTCTTGTCGAACATGTTGTTCATCAATTTCTTGAGCAAGAGTATTTGCTCGTTCATTAGCTTCTATAGCATCAATACGAAGTTTCTCTTTTTCACTATTTATATTTTCTATCACAAGACTAAAAATATAAAAACATTTCCATTAGTAAACTATATTTTTATATAAATTATATAAATTGTAATACTTACTTTAAATTATGTAATTCTTCCTGATACAGTATGAGAACATCTCGCAATAACATTATATGAGATCGAATTGCAGAATGATCTAATGAATCATTAAAATTTTTTAATTCATCACATAAGGTAGATGTTAAATCTGTTAAAGAAATTTCAGATATTTTAAGACCTCCATCCGTTAATAAAGATGTATTTGTAATATTAGAAAGTTTCCATGTATCCAGAATAGTATTATTCCTCGTAAAACTATTGTTTAAAATAAGAATGAGAAATTAAATAAAAATTTTGTGAAATTATAATATTATATATAAATTAAATTATTAACTATTTATATTAAAAAATAATGCAGTACCTAGTTTTGCGAGAAGTATGTATATCAAAATTTCGTTTTCTAAAATCCAATTTAGTTAATTCTTTTGTGGAATCATTATTTTTATCTAAAGTTAATTGATCTTCTATTGCTTTATTTTGAAATATAACAAGAAATTCATCTAAACTAATCAATCCATCACAATTTTGATCAAGTTTCTCAAAAATGCACTGTGAAATCTGTAAAATAATATTTTATGATATAATTTTAAATTCATTTAATTTATAAAAAAATTAACATAATAAATATAATAAATTTTAAATTATATTATTAATTAATATATAAATTATATAATAAATATTAATATATATATAATATATATTAATATTTATATATAATATTTATATATAATAATATTATATAAAAATAATAATATAATAAAATTATTATTATATGTAAAAATAATATATATATAAATAATTACCTGTTTTGGAAGAGCTGGGATTCCTAAACAGTTAGATATAAAAAAGATTGTTGCAGAATCTACATTTTCTTTTAAATAAATATTTATCTTTTCCCATAAACATTTCAGTCTATTTTCATTTATTGTTACACCTAAAAATTAATAATATATATTTTTATATAATAAAAATAATTACAAATACAAAAAGATAATGGATTATCTAAACATAATTACCTGTTTTTCCATTTAAAAATCTACATTAGAATTAGAATTATTAGATGCTAATGAATTACATTTTTTATTATCTATAATATGTGAATTTATATCATTTTGTGATTCTGTTATATTATCTTTCTCTGTTTGTGTAATTGGATTTTGTGTTTTTCCTAATAAAGTTAATAAAGCAGTTCTAAACTCTTGGAATGATATAGATTGTTTTTCTTGTTCATGTTGTTGGATGCATGATTTTAATTCTTCACTTTGTTCTGCCAAATGTAATTTGTGACATAAACTGAGCCAATTATCTTCTCGTAATTCAGTTTCTCCTTTTGTTAAACAACTTTGAAACACAGCATAAAGCTGTTGTTCATAAGGATCATTATTCTGTTCATCCATGGCATCCTTTCACTGTTTTTTGATATGATATAAAATAAAGTAGATCTATAATATTAATAAAATTACACAAAACTATTAAATTAAATTGTTAGATCTTAGGAAAGAAATAATATTAATATTTATAATTCAAATTCTATACGAATTTTAGAAATTAAAATAAAATAAATTAAAGTATATTTCTTTATTAATAATCTTTAAAATTATTAGATATTAATTTTTAATTTCTAAAACAAAATTTTATTATTATATAAAATTAATATATAAAATTATATTTGTTTATTTTTATTATTTTTAATATTTTCAAATTTTTAATTTTTAATTCAATTTTTTATAATTTTTTTTATATTAATAAAAAATTGCTTTTTTAAAATAATTCAATAATTTATGTTATGTAAAATATATATATATAAAACTTATATAATATATATTTCTTAAATTTATTAATATAAATATTTTCAAAAATATTTTGCTTTAAATTTTTTTTACTAAAATGATTATTTAATCATTTATTTTTTATATGAACATATAACATTATATATATTGTTAATAATTAAAAAGAAATAATTAATATTACAATAATCACAATAAACAAAATTATTCATATTACTTTAGTTATTAAATTAATCAATTTTGTTCATTTGGATTCAGTGAAGTCTTTTTTATATTAGGAAAATAAAAAAATATTTTAAACAATTAAAATATATTTAATCAAATATTATATAGAATATGTTAACCTAAAAAATATGTTTGAAATTATTTATTTCTAATATATAACAAATTAATATATTATAAGTAATATATTAATAATTTATAAATCATATTAATAATTAAGAAATATGTATAATATTAAATTTAATATTATTTTTAGATTGCGTAATAAATATGTTTCAAAGTAAATTATTTGCAGATAACGGTATATATAAATTTTAAAAAAGTTATTCTAATCAACAATAAAGAAATAACAATTTCAAAACAATGAACTTTGTTGTTACGATTTTTTATTATATGAAAAACTAAACATTTAAATTATAAAATGATTATAACCTACCACTAAATTATAAGTTCGTTTCACAAATCACGCAAACATATTCTGTCTATTTATCTATATGTGTATGCATATATATATAACTAAATGTATATATATATATACATATATATATATTTATATATAAATTTTATGTGCGCGAGCGTATATGTATATACTATAATGTAAATAATCACATCAAAATATATTTTATATTTATATAGTTCTATTTTCAACTGTACTATTTATATTTTTTTTTGTAGTTTCATAGAAAATTTATGAATTATATGAGCGCGTACATATATATATATATATATATATTATGACTATGTAAATATTCAAAATATATTTAATATTTATATCGTTCTACTTTCAATATCATAATATTTATTTTTTTTTTTTGAGTTTTACAGAAAATTTAAAATTTCCTCTCATTTACGATTGAAAAAAATATAGAATTTAAATTTATTAAATCACAATAACAAACGCTAGATGGCAGTATATTTTAAATTTAGTGATTTTATAACAAAAAAATACACATATGTTTTTATAAATTAATTCTTACTATTTATATTATTTATTATTAATATAATATATTAATAATAATAATAATAAAATATTTATTCAAATATAATAATAATTATTATTGAATTAAGTTTTTATTTAAAAATTATTATTTATCATTTATAAATTATTATAAAATTCACAAAATTTTTTTAAAAGTAATTATATTCAAATATTTATATTTTAGAATTAATAATGCAAGAAAATAAATAAATTTAATATGAAACATTTATTCCATATAAAAATAGAAGATTGCTACTTATGAAGATATTGATGAATATAATCTTTATTTTTATAAAATCACATTTTGCAACATAGAAAACTTACTAAATAAATTGAGAGTACAATTTTTTTATAGTAATAATATTATAAAAAAGAAGTATATATACAAGAAAAATTTGAAAAATTTTTATTTTTATAATAATAATAATAACATAATATTTTTTTTTAAATATTAAATATATTAAATATAATATTATGTATGTTATATATATATATATTATATATATTTTTTTTCCTAAAATAAAATTTTTTTTTACAATCTTAATTGTTTGGACTATTTGGTTCCTCCCATGGTCGTGGTATACGAACATTTTCCCAATTATCAATGTCCAAAGTCTATAAATATTAAATTAAACATTATTACATTATATAATTATTTAATATATTGATATAATTTCAATATTTTGTTCAATAACAATAATAATATTATTTTTATAAATGAAAGAATAAGATGTATTATCATGCATTTTCATTCATCATAATACATAGTATGTATTAATAAATTTTTATCTTGTTATCTTATTTTCCTCTCTCATTGTTACTATTATTATTACGCATTTTCATTCATATTTCAATATCTTTATTATTAATTTTTTGCTAATAATATTTAAAATAATTATTTCCTCTTTAAAAAAATAAACTATATTTTTGAATACTCAATATTTATTTTAATATAATTTAATATATACATTTGATAAATTTTTTAATTAAAATCTTACTTACTTTTATTTTTTCATATTCTTCTTCAAGAGTACAAGATTTTTTCATTTCAATACCTTTTTGTTTCATTTCCATTTTGAAATCCTGTGATGTAACTTTTGGATATTTGTACCTAGAAAAATTAAAATAAATAAAATATATTTTTAAAATATTATATTATTAAATATTAAAATACATACTTTAATTTTGTAAATTCTTGAATGAAAAATGAACCTCCTATAACAAGTATCATAAATGGTAAAAACTGCCGAAATAATTTTGTCTCATGAAATCGTTTCATCATAGGTTATGTATATGCTGTTATAAAATTTGAATTATGAACTACGAATGATACATTACAATTTCGAATATATTAAAATTGTATATTATAATTGTAATTTTAATTGAATCATATTATCATTTCTTATTAATATTATTGTTATATTATAAATAATATTCGTATAAATTTAATGATCTAAAATATAAATGTTTGCTTGTTTACATAAATTTATACGTATTTTTTTTATATACATTATTTATAATTATTTGTTAAATTAATAAATATATATTATGATTATCATATTTTGAAGTAATGATATTATTATATTTAAGAAGTATATATAAATATATTAATTAAAATATACATTTACTTCATGTTCATATTTTTTTTATTTTTATATATATGTTTTGATTTTTTTATACTAATCTAATAATTTATTTATACAATTTAATTGTAATAAAAAGTTAATAATAATATAATAATATTTTTAGTTATGATAATTATATTTTTTGTTTAGTTTTTCGGTGATTCAAATTGATTTTATTTGACCAATAAAAAGTTAGCGAAATATATCGATTTATATGGATCTTTTAAGTGAGAAATGTGAAAATAATAATGATTATAATTTTATTATCTTCACTTTATATAGTTAAATAAATTTATTCATATTATTCATTTGGTAATAAAAGTTAAAATAATTCAAATTATTATGGACTGTAAAAAAAAAAAATGATTTTAGTTTTAAATTTTACTACAGGTTAAGCTGACGTATAAGGTTTTAATTTTAATTTGAAAAATATTTCTGCCAGAAATATAAGAAATTTCAAAATGAACATTTTGCCAGGAACGGCATCTCTTCTTGAAGAACTTGACAGTACGTATTTATATTATATAAATAACGTTAATAATATTTCATTTATTAGGTTATACCGGTATATTATATTTTTACATTTAATCTTATTAAGTGCAGTTTTTAATAAAATAACTGTATTTTATATAAGAAAAAATTATTAATATAATATAAATGATCATTAACTTCATAAAACTATATTATTTAAATTGTTTTAATCAAAATTATATTCATATATTTTTTAAATTTTTCATAAATTTCTAAATTTTCAATAAAACAACACTTTGTTTATTTTAATATTTGTAATATTTTTAATATTCGGTATATATATATATAATATATATAATATTTTTAATATTTGATAAAAATTATTTTCATTGAGATATTATATATAATTCTTGTTTAGAAAAACTTATGGTTTTATTAAGAGATGGCAGAACATTAATTGGATATCTTAGAAGTGTTGATCAATTTGCTAATATTGTACTCCATCGTACAATTGAAAGAATTCATGTTGGCAAAGAATATGGAGATATCCCAAGAGGCATTTTTATTGTTAGAGGAGAAAATGTTGTTCTTTTGGGGGAAATAGTAATATCTTATATAAATTATATCATTTAAAAAAATTTTTTTTAATAAAACATTATGATTATTATTATAGGACAGAGATAAAGAAAGGGATTTACCATTAACTGAAGTATCTGTTGATGATATCTTAGATGCACAAAGACGAGAACAAGAATTAAAACAAGATCAAAAGAGATTAATAAATAAAACTTTGAAAGAACGAGGTTTATCATATATTCCAGATATGGGTCATGATGATATGTTCTGACCCATATCCACATCATTAACTACTAATACTTTGTCATCCACATCTTCACATAATTCCGAAATGTGTGATTCATGTTATACATCACTATTTTTCTGATAATATCTAGTGGTGATAATTTGTAAAATGTAACTATTACATAATTGTGAAGATAAAAATAATTATTAATTATGCCCAACAATTTCTTTCTATGAAACTATATTAGTACAATTGAAGTTTGACTTAAACTATCAATAATATGAAAATTTATATAGTTTACTTTTATTATATTAATTCTGTATTTATAATGTAGAAAATGTATGGACTATAATTGTATCATACTTTTAAAGATCTTTAAATTTCTGCTATATATAAATATTATATTTAAATGAAAACTTATTATAATTGATATATAGTCTTTATTGACTATATTAAATACATAAGTAAATATATTGATTATATTCAAAGATTATGTATTTCACTAATAATCATATATTTTTCTATGATCAGTTTTAAATGCTTTGTTTTATATAAAGAATTCTTGTTTGAATAATTTCCTTGTACTTCGAATTAAAAATAAAGATGAATAATTTGATTACAAATTTGATTGAACATAAAAGATATCATGTGTAAATGTTACTTATGTATTAAATATTTAATAAATGTATAAAATATATTTTGTTAAAAATATATAAGATCATTTCATAACTTAAAATATTTTATTTAGAAAATCTAATATATTATGTAAGATTTAATTCAATAATATATATTTATGATAAATAATTTATTATCATTCTTTGGCAGTTATAATTTTTTGTCTTCTTGTTTATATAATATTAAATATAATATTGTTTGAATGATATTGAACTTATTTAGATTTTTTACAATATTATATTGTATTTTGTTTTTACATATCAAATATAAAGATATGTTATATATTTAAATGTATTAATAAAATGTACGATTTTTAAGTTATTGTATCTTCCTTTTTATTAAGTCTATTATAGATATATATCTATTAAGACTTTATAAAATTAAAATATTATTCACAAAAATCATAAAAAATGAATATATATATTCATTTATATATTCATATTATATATAATCGTATATCATTAATAATATATTTATTATATTAAAAAATAAATGTTCTTTATATTATGGATCTACAAAAAAACCACATAAAAATATTATATAAAATATATTTTAATTTGATTCCATATTGTTAAAATAATACATTTAAATATAAAATGAAATGAATATATTTATAATCATTGCATTTAATATGAACTCATTAATTTATTTTTTTAATATATGAATTTATTAATTAATTTTAAATATAATTACAATATTTTTGTTTTTTATGCAAAAAAGTTTATTCATATAATGAATAATTATAAATTAACAAAATATATGTAATGTATAAACTTTTTAGAGTATTAAATATTACATCTTAGTACAAATTATTTACTATATAAATATTATGAATTCAAGTATATTACATATTTATGTATCAATCTATTTTTATTATAAAAGCACAAAAGTAATGGAAATCCCCAAAAATCAATGAAAATATACTTTAAAATTTTGTTCTAAAAACACGAGTAAACCTATCAATGTTATAGGTTTTTATGTTCATTTGCTTGTCTAAAATAAAAATTATTAAAATAAATGTATATAAAGATATAGAGGTAACATATTAAAACTTTTATGTTTAAATATTATATTAATTTTTGGCATATATTGTGATTATTTCATAATCAAAATGAAGTTTCTTGAAATGTGTCTTTTATTTTTACCAAATTTAATGTTGATTCACTTAATTGTTTATGCCTAAAACCTTGTTCTCGTATATTTTTTGATGTTTTAAATTCCATTATTGATCTTTTAGAGTCATTACGTTGTAAACTAGTTGCTCGTTTTCTTGGTGAGCTTGCTATTTCATCATTTTTTTCTAACGAATTGTTTGCACTATTCGTACTTCCAGATACGATACCAGAAGTATCAGATTCTGGTTGATTTCCATTTAAACAACATAATAAGCTTTCAGAAAGACCATCTTCATTTAAAATGTTTAAATCAGATTCTGATTGTTCGAAGTCTCCTGTACGCGATGAAAAACTGAGATCAACAGGACTAGCAGTTAATACACTTCTAGACAATAAATATTCTCTAAATGTGCTTGTTATAGACATAGTACTTTGTTGTTTGATTGCATAACAATCATCAGTAATCGATGTAACAAATTTTTGTTTTTCTGTTGTATTTTTGTCTAAGTTTTCTTATTTTCCAAGTCAATAATTCCACTGTATATAATTTCGCTGTTTGTGTTATTGAGTTTTTGAGATTCTTCTAGAATTGAAGTATAATTCATTGAACTAATAATATCAATATTTGATCTGTGTATGTTATTAGACACACTATATTGATTCCAACTATTATTAACAGAAGCAAGATTACATAGATTTGATCCAGAAATCATCATTACTGGTTTTCTTGATCGTGGTGTCATCATTGTTTCCTGTAATCAATATAAAAAATTACTAATTCAAATTTATAATTATACATTATAAATTATAAATAAATATATTAAATAGTAATAAAATAGATGTAATAATAGAAGAAATAATATTACAAATTCATACCTGCATAGCTTTTGTCATTTTAGTAGCACTTTGTGTAATTGGACTCATGCTCTTATCATTATTAGTAATAGGAGTTAATATATAATCGTTAGTAACTAAGCTTTTACGTAATAAATTTGATGGTGTTGATGTATGCGCAACATATACATTCCAAAGTCTGTTCTTTACAACAGGAGATAAATGTACACATGCACTATCAATTTGAGATTCCAATTTTGAATGTTCGACTATTTTCTTATTATCTTCAATATAATTAGTAATGGATGCCATGTTTCCATAAGTTGCTTTTTGTGCTGTAATTATAGGTTCTGAATTCTGTCTAAATAATTCACTTTTACTAGTTTCATACAAAGTACTTTGGGAAGAATACATATCTGGTGGTTCACTAAGTTGTCTAGATATTCTAATAGTATTAATTGCAGTATTATTATCTTCTAATTCCTTGCTATTAAAATCTTGTAAAGATATATTTATATTACTTGGTTTTGAATTTATAGATTCATCAACATAAGATCCTTTATTTGATTTATGTATAGGCCAGTTATGATATTGATAATTCATTTTTTCCTCCTTTATATTTATAAATTTCATTAGTACAGCCTTTCTTTTGTCTTTGTAACTTCTTAATGTAGAAGTATTAAGACTACCAGTGCTATTACTAATATGTTTAGTATGAAGAAAATTGTCATTATTTGTATCATAGTTTTCCATACTAAGTTCATCATCTGATTTACTAAATAAAACTTTTGTTTGAAGTAATGACTTTTCTAAATTCTGTATAATAACAAACATGCATATAAAATACATTAATTATATATTATTGTTATAAATATCTATCATGCATTATAAAATTAATATGCTGTTATGAAATAACAAATATTGATCATAGAAAATAATATGTTGTATATATCTTACCGATGATAATATATTTTCTTCACTATTAGATCTAGTAATATTGCAACCTATATTAATATCAAACTTTTTATGTCCCAAAATCTTTTTCTGAAATATATGTTTTTTAATTGAATCTCCAAGACTTTTAGTTCGAAAATGCTTAACTTGTCTTGGTGTTCCTTGACCATTTTCCTTATTAAATTGTTTTACAAGTCTACGTTTTTTAGCTGATTCTGGCATAGCTTGTATGTGAGCATAAAGTTGTGCTAATGCTGCCTGAGTATCTTGTGTAGAATTTGCTTTTGCTGTTAATTTATGATCCACAAAACTGAAAACTGTGTGTGCTGTACCTGTTGTATCCTGTGTAGATTCATTTAACTGTAATAATAATTATTTAAATTATATAACAATTATCCTTATTTATCCTTAATTATTTAAATTACATAGTTAATAAATTATAGTTATTTATAAATTATATTAAAGATTTAGATAAAAAAACTTACATCTGTATTTTTAGGACTAAGTAATTTTCTTTCTTGTTCTACCCAATATGCTCTAATATCTGTAGCTAGTTTTGGTGGAATTTCAAATAATTCATTTTCTTTTCTAATCATAAAAGCAACTAAACATGATAAATTTTGAGAATTAATATGTAAAGCTTCTGGTGATAATTTTCTTGGACACATTAAATGTGGTGTAAAAAGAGTAGCAAGAGTATCACAATTCATTTTATTATTAGATTCAAAACTAGCTGTTTTATTAAGAAGATTCAAAATATATTTAAGTAAAACTCTATTTATAGATGGTAGAAGCAATAAAAGTAATTGCAAAGATCTTAATAATCTAGCATCATTTCCACTTATATCAGAGTTACATAATTCTAAAATTAAGAATAATAAATTTTAAAATAACATAATTAAAATTATATCAAAATTAATTTAGTTAATTCCTTACCAGCAATTTGACAATGTGCCGGATAATGTAAATCTGATAACAATGGTTCTGATAAATCAGCCAAAAATCCTTTTAATACTGATGCACAATCATGTACACTATATCGACCATCACTAAGATTCAACGGACTACTTTGATATAATGCAATTTTTAAATCTTGTTGTCTTGTCAATTTACCAGTACGTCGAAATATACCTTCTTGAATAATATCTTTAAATTTCATTTAGATATGAAAAAAAAATTATTTAAATATTTTATGATATAAATTTTTATAGTAAATAAATTTTTACTTACTTTGTTCTTTAGATAAATATTCTATTAATTGTTTTACTTGATTTATTCCATCTTCAGATAAAGTAGCACCTTCAATTCCTTTTTGTAAATTAATTGTCGATTTAGGTTTTTTTGAAAAACTCAAGAGACCCCATTTTTTTAATTTCGTCTTTTCATTGATGCAGTCACTGCTATAATATAATAATTAATTTTACAATTTATAAAATATATTTTATTTTGCAAACAATATAACAATATAAATATCTTATAAAATCAACATTTAAATTCAAATTTAAATAATTTAAATAAGTCATCTTACTCTTCGGTATTAAGGTCTAATTCAAAAGATAGATGCATTTTGACGAGAGTGTGAAATTGTTCTGGATTGACTTTTCGCATTCTGAAAGCCAATTTACCATCCACACCATCGTTAAAATCTTCCATTGTTAATTCCATAATAAAGATAATTTAAACACGTTCTGACATCTTTGAATTATTATATAC